TGCCTCCGCCTCAGCCTGCCTCAGCCGCCCCACCCCCCCTCCCCACCCCACCCACACCCCGCCCCATTCAGCCTCGCCCTGTCTCAGCTTCGGCCTGCCTCGGCCTCTCATCCTCAGCCTCAGCCTCCGTTTCAACCTGTCTCGGCTTGAACCTGCCTCGGCCTCAGCCTCAGCCTGCCTCAGCCTCAGCCTGCCTCGGCCTCAGCCTCAGCCTGTCTCAGCCCCAGCCTGCCTCAGCATCAGCCTCAGCGTCAGCCTGCCTCGGCTTGCCTCGGCCTCAACCTCAGCCTGCCTCCGTTTCAGCCTCAGCCTCAGCCTGCGTCAGCCTCAGCCTCAGCCTGCTTCAGCCTCAGCCTGCCTCAGCCGCAGCGTCAGCCTGCGTGCGTCAGCCTCAGCCTCAGCCGGCCTCAGCCTCGGCCTCAGCGTCAGCCTCGGCGTGCCTCAGCCTCAGCCTCAGCCTGCCTCGGCCTCAGCCTGCCTCGGCCTCCGCCTGCCTCAGCTCGGGCATTCAAAATATTGCACAGGACTGGTGTTCTGGGAACGCGAAGATCACGAAGTGGCCCACACTTGGTTCCGGGCAATCAAAATATGGTGCAGGAGTGGTCTTCTGGGAACACGAAGAACACGAAGTGCCCTACAGTTGGCTCCGGGCATTCAAAATTATCCTGGGAATGGTGCTCTGGGAACACGAAGAACACGAAGTGGTCTACAGTTGGCTCCGGGCATTCAAAATGTGGCCTGGGAATGGTGTTCTGGGAAAACGAAGAACACGAAGTGGCCTACAGTTGGCTCTGGGCATTCAAAATGTGGCCTGGAAGTGGTGTTCTGGGAGCACGAAGAACACGAAGTGGCCTACATACAATTGGCTCCGGACATTCAAAATGTGGCCTGGGAGTGGTGTTCTCTTGGCTCCGGGCAGTCAAAATGTGGCTCCTGGCAATGAAAATGGGGAGTCCCCGGATTCCCGCGGCACTCCCCGGATTCCTGCGGCACCCGTCCGGCAGCTGCCCAGACCCCCCTGGGGAGTCATGCTGCTCTCTTTTGAGACCACTAGAAACCGACCAGTCTTCGCTGCTAGGTAAAAAAATGTCAACGTCAATGAAAGAAATGAGGTCGCTCTTGCCTCCACCACGTCTTTGATGCACAGCCGCGGGGGGGCGCTGTCGGCAGCAGACTCTGCCATGCCAGGCAACTGGGAGACCAAGTATTGGTGCTGCTTGCCGGCCGTGGCGAGGCGCCCGTAGAGCTCCTGCACGACCTTCGGTCCTTGCGCATACGATTTAGAATGCGAGTCCAACTTGCCAAGTTGAATCTGCAAGGATGCCTCCAGTTTTGTAACCTTCGCGCTTTGAGTGGTGACCTGGACTAGAAGACTGGTTTCACTGGTGTGGCACACGGCATCGAGCTTCTTGCAGTATCGTGTGTCAATTGTCGAGTTTACAGCCGTCTCAGAGAGCGTGATGAAGTTCTGCATCTCCATCTTACTCTGATCTCTGTCATGTTCGCCACTGTTTGTGCCTGGAGGCCCAGCAACGCCACGAGGAGCAGGAAGACGGGAGTAATGCCGAGTGTTGCATGCAAACGACGTGTCAACATCTGGTGCAAGGGCAACCGTCTTCCATGCACCACCATGTTTGCAAGCACTCCATGCGCCCAAGCTCTTCTTGCTTCCGCACCACGCACGGTACCATATCTTGAGCTGTGCCGTCCTCCGCGAGGGGGGGGGGCGCTGTGCTCCAGGGCGGAGGCGGTGCTGGCTGGTCGAGCCGCCCGCCCTTGCCCTTGGAGCCCCAAGCCGCTGCACCGTTGCCCTTGCCGTCGGGCTGGCGCTCGGCTGGGCGCTCGCCCTTGCCACTGCCGCGGCCCCAGCGCCCTCCTCCGCTCGTGGTTGCAGGCTGCCGGGGAAGGGAACGTGACTGGGGAGTGCGGGAGAGCCACTTGGTCCGCTGCCTCCGGATGCCGCGCCAAAATTCGAAACAGCAAGGCCCACCTGGGCCTGGGACGGCGGGGGGGAGGGGGAGGAGGAGGAGGAGGAGGAGGAGGAGGAGGAGGAGGAGGAGGAGGAGGAAGAGGAGGGGCAGGCGCAGCGGAGGAGCAGAGGCGAAGCAATTCGGAGGCAACTACTGGGAAGTCCTCGCTGGAACGATTACAACCTCCTCGGCCCGTGTGAAGGGCTACGATCCGCCTTTTCAAGTAAGACTATACCAAGACGAAAATGAGATCGTGTACAGAAAAATCGAGAATGTCTGAGATCCGGCGGCTCTGGAGGGTGTCTCAGTCGCGGCGATCTTCTCAAAGCGTTCCTGAACGCTTTGAGCGCGTTCTGGAGCGCTCTGCAACGGATTTATACTCGTCCTGGCCCCGTCCGGTCACGACTGGCTTCAAGCACAGGCCTGCTGTACTGTACTAGACGGGATTCAGAGGAATTGGACGGGAGTCGGCCGGATCCTTTCGCATCTCGACCAAGGACACACCAGCGCCGATACAGAATTCAACCTCCCATGACATGCACCCTTGAAAACAAATCTCGTTCAAATATGCAAGCGATATGGCCCGTTACCAGCGCCGACCCCCCTCCCATAGTAATGTCATCATCTGCGTTGCCGCAGTCCGAACAAAGCTAATGACAGTCAGTGGACAATCCCGCCAGCCCTCTGTGCGTAGGTGGTTTAGCGAACTCTTGCCTTCTCTCCTCCCACAACCTTCCTTCCCCAGCTCGGGGGAGGCAACCTCCCTGGGGCCTTGGATGGGGGGGGGGACGGAGGGGTTAGAGCGTCCAAGATGGCCCCAGATGGCTCCAAGAGGGCCGAGACTCCAAGATGGATTCCAAGATGGCCCAAGATAGCCGAACATGCTTCAAGATAGCCTCCGCCATGCCTCAAAGACGCCTCCAGACAGGCCCACACGGTTTCGGGTGCCCCTGAAGCCTTCCTAGGCCCCCTTTCCAAAGGACCCAAATCCTCAGAAGCCTATGGGAAAGCAATTCGCTTGGCCTTCTCAACGCTTGGCTTCTGATGGGCCTCGGAGGCCCCGAGACGGCCCCACGACGGCCCAAGAGAGCCCCCAGAGGGGTCCAAGAGGGCCCCTAGAGGGCCTCAAGAGCGCTCCAAGAGCGGCCCAAGAGGGCCCCGAGACGCCATCCTTGAGTCTCCGAGGAGGGTACGTGAACGTCCTCCCCCCCCATCTCTTTGTGACTCATGGGGGCCGAAATGGCCCCAAGAGGCCTCCCAGACCCCTCCAAGGAGCCCCAAGAAGGCCCCACGACCCCCAAAATGAGCCCCAGGAAGGTCCCAAGAGTGCTCCAAGAGGCCCCACGGGGGCCTTAGGAGAGCCCCTAAGATGGCCTCTTCGAAAATCAAGAACCGGTCAAAACAACATACCTCCAAAGCCTGACTTCTCATCTTGTCATCGTATGTTCCTTCCCCCTCCTTTCCTGCCTCTTCCCTCCTCCCACCCCATCCTCCTCCTCCTCCTCCTCCTCATCATCATCATCATCAGCATCATCAGCATCATCATAAGCATCATCAACAGCATCAGCATCAGTATCAGCATCAGCATCGACATCATCATTATCAAAATCCTCGTCAGCAGTAGCATAATCATCAGCAGCATCACCAACAGTAAAATGATCATCAGCATCAACATCATCATCGACATCATCATAATTATCATCATAATCAGCATCGTCGTCATCGGCATCATCATCAGCAGCAGCATCATCAGCATCAACATCATCATCAGCATCAGCATCCCAAACAACATCATTAGCATCATCATCATCAGCAACAGTATCATCATCACCATCATCATCACCATCATCATCAGCATCCTCATCCTCATCCTCATCCTCATCCTCCTCGCTCCTCCTGCTCCTCCCCCTCCTCATCCTCCTGATCCTCCGTATCCTCCTCGTGCCGCACTCTTCCTCCTCCTCATCCTCATCATCCTCCTCTTCTTTCCCCATCCTTCTCCTTCTCTGTCGTTCCTCCTCCAACTCCTCTTCCTCCTCCTCCTCCTCTTCCTCCTCCTCCTCCTCCCCCCAAGGTGGTGCTAGGAGGTCGAGCCTTGCTCAAGATAGCCTCCGACAGACCTCCAAGAGGCCTCAAGACAGCCACCAGAAGGGCCAGAATAACTGAGCATGGCTCAGGGTCCGCCTCCGACAACCTCTAGCCGATCATGGCTCCTTACAGCATCCAAGAGGCCTCAAGACATCATCCGATCGTGTCTCGATGGGCTGGTAGGGATCGGCGAGGCTTCAAGAGTTTTGCTAGTGAACATGTCGACTGGGTCATGTCGTCTGCGTGTTTGATGTCATATTCTGCCACAAGACGCACCTCAAAAACGCGTATACCCAGGACGAAAAATGACCGATGAACCTCAAATGCGCGAACCGCGACGAGCGGTGGGCGCGAGAGCGTCAGCGCCGCCGAACGCGTTGCGTTCCGATTGTCTGTCGGCCTATGCGCTGAAGGAACGATGGGGCAGTGCTGAGTGCGATCTGCGCGTTGGAAGCAAGATGCGAATGAGCGAGACAGCTACAGGCCCACCGTGGCAATTGGATAACGAACCCCAACATCCCTCCCCTCCCCCCTAGAATTTTCAAGCGGGCCCGGTCTGGGGCCTCACGCATGATTTCAGTATGGTCCCCCGAACTAGTTCAACAACACACGACTGCATCGGGTCAACAGCGGGTCCACATGAACAGTGGGACGGGAGTCAGACCTGTGGAAAGCTGATTTAGTTCCACACATAAAAACATATCCTCTCCAACATACATTAGAACAAACATTGGATCTTCGCACTGAAGTCAGATCCGCTTGAAAATTCGTTAAGTTGTTGGTACGTTCCGTTTGTACTCCTGACGATGTCACTTTCACGCTCCAGGTGACAAGTCTGTCTTCCTGGGGATGGGCGCTTCGGCACTTCGGTCGCTGTTGCAAGAGAGCTGATGTCACGCATCGCGCGGGCGTACGCGTGCGCGCCCCTTGAGCCAAACAGGCTACGGATGCAACGTGGATCAGAACATCATGTTTTTTTTCCCACCAAAACTCCCCCGACCATATTAGCATGCTCGTCAAAATACTACTCGCAACAAAGGTTCACTGACTGTAGGGTATTCTACGTAGTTCCGAGACGGCGACGGCGCGGACCTACCAGTCGGACGTGCCAATCGTTTTCTGTAGTCGGGTGCTACCGGAGGACTCCCAAGCCCAAGGTGCCCTCAGCTGTTCTAGCTATTTTCGGCCCCACGGGGCCCTCTGGGCATCGCGAGGGGTGCTCTGAAAGCCACCTGGGCCTCCCTGGAAATCCTGGGGTCAGCTTGGGTCACGGATACCTCTGGCAACATACGAGCAAGGCCATCAACGGGGGGTCCACTGGGCCCCGTGCGGGTACTCTAGAGGCCATCTTGGCCTCAACTGAAATCCTGAGGTTACAGTGGGCAAGGCGCATCTCGGGCACCGTAGACGGCGACAGCACAGCCGAAAACCGACGCGAAACCGAAACCGAGCAAACCCAACAGGTCGATAGCAACACAGACAGGCGCAGCGAGGCAGCAACGACACGCCAACCGAACGAACCGAACCGATCGAACGCATCCGACCACGACGCAGCCGAACCGACCGGACCACAAGCACCCTTGTTTTGACAGTCTGGCGCCCAGTGCGGGCCCCCAGAAAACGAAAATGGCCAAAGACGTCCCATCATGTTTTTCACGACGCGAATGCGAACGGGCCATCCCGCCAAACATCGGCCTTTGGACCTGCCCCCAGGGTGCGATCTGGCTAGAAATTTGAAGGGAATCTGGCCGTGGCCACCGCAACCTCCCCAGAGATCCCCGAGGAGAGGCATCCTAGGTGGGGTCCGAGTAGATGGGGTCGGAGGATCGCGCCGCATCGCTGATGCATCGCCGATGTATCGGCGATGCATCGGCGACGCTGGCGATGCATCGGCCCCGTCGGCGAGGATAAATGCAGGCTACACATCGAGCCGCATCGCCGATGCATCGGCGATGCGGCGCGATCCTCCGAACCCATCTGCTCGGACCCCGTCTGGGAGGCCTGGTCCAAGACGATCTGACAACCTCGATGACAGATCCTCCCATACCCTGGGGAAACCAAAAGGTACCGCCGATACCGTTGCGTTCCGACCAGCACCTCGAGGCGAATCCAACGGTGGCGACGAAGGCCTCCCGGGAGGCCCCAAACGGGGGAAAACTGGGAACGGTGTAGCAGTATGGGTACCTTCTTCCCTCCCCGGATGCCCCGCGCTCTCTTGCTCGGCGTCAGCTCTGCCGAGGTCTCCGGCCGCAGCGGCAGCGGCGCCCGCAGGCGGCGGGCGCCCCAGACCGCGCGCGCGTTGCGAGCGCGTGCGGCGCTGGCTGCGCTGTACAGCAGCCGAGAAGCTCCCCCGCCGGAGGGTCCAGCGAGTCCCCGGCGGGGCGGGCGGCAGAGGGAGGCAGATGAAGGCCAGGGTTCACGAGGGACTGGAGGGAGGCAGGCAGGCAGGAGGAGAAGAAAAGTTCGAAAGCCCAAGGTTCGCTGGGGACTGGTTTCCCCCCCAATCCCCCCCAGAACTACCGAAACCCTTCCAAAACCCTCTCGAAACCCGTTGAAAGCCTCTCGGAACACTTCCCAGAAGGTTTTCGCAGGGGTTCGGGAGAATTTCGGCTGTTTTGAAAGGAAACCAGTCCCGAGCGAACCCTGGACTGTCAAGCTAGAGGCCTCACAGAGGGGGTCCCAGCAGATTGGGTCGGAGGAACGCGCCGCAGCGCCGATGCCGTCGGCGATGCATCGGAGCCGTCGTCGTGGAGGAAATCGGGCTCCACATCGAGTTGCATTGCCGGTGCATCGGCGATGCGGCGCGTTCCTCCCACCCCACCTGCTCGGACCCCATCTGGGAGGCCAATCTATAACCCGAGTTACATGCCGACACCGTTGTCATTCCCTCGTAACCACGGTTGGGTTCGCCTCAGGGCCGTAGTCAGAACGCACGCCCAAAGAGGCCCAGGGTGTAGCGGTATCAGTACCTCTTCTTGGATTCCAAAGGGAGGCAGGTGGGGGAGGAACAGAAGAAGAAGAGGACGAAGGAGCCAGGGGGCAAAAGACAAGAGGCGGGAGGGGAAACCACAGGGCCAGCCAGTCCCTGGCTGGGTGAGAGGCAGGGCGCGGGCATGCAGGAAGCAGGAGGGAGGAGATCAGGTGAACATATGAACAGACCGAACAAGAGGATGGTGCCCGAAGATTGTGTGAGCCTTCCCTCTCCAGGGAAATCCTCAACCACGCCTAGATGACAAACTCCTCCTTGGACTGGCTAGGGTCCCCTTCGAACGACAATCACGGCGCAAAAAGGTTGTTGGCAAGTCGTAGACCTCGGGACCGTCAAAACCACGCCCCAGAATGTAAAGCAGGCCCCAAGGTGTCTGGAGTTCCCGAGGGCGTCCGCGACAACAAAACCGAAAACAAACCGAACTGACAACGAATCGAAACACCCAGCGAACTGGAAGACCGAATGCAGTCGAGAAAGACGCAGTGGCGCAACAGTCGACCGAACCGACCAGTCCGAACGTGGCGCCGCCAATACTGCGCCGCCAAAGCACCACCAGTCGCGTCGCCACTGGAGAAATTGCGCGTTGTCCTGCCTGATCAAGAACACGTACTACCTTAGTGTGGCAGGTCTTGTGAGACCACGCCGTGCACATGCACCAGTGTAGGCCGAATACTAGTCACGCGGTCGCGACAGCGGTTAACAATGTGACACTCCCCGCGCGCGAGCGTGACACCGCTTGGGGATCAGAACCGCACGCGCGCTTGGCTCTCGCTTGATGCGCCCCTCTTGGGGCGGGGACAAAAACGGGACACCCGCAGGAACCTGGAAGTCGGTGTTCGTTTCGGTCCCACTCCCTAATCAACCGATGGACGGTTTTCTTGAGTACATACCACACGAAACCGAAGATAGTGTCGCACTCTTGACAACTAACCGAGAACTAACCCAGATTACGGAACCGGCGCCTCCGGCCAGATTATCGACCAAGCATCCGAATCTGCCCTGGTAGCTCGAGAGGCAAGGCGCAGTCATGGACTCGTCGACCGCATCAAATATTCTAGCTCGGGGTTCGTCGACCGAGCTGTCCACATCACCCATGCAACTGCAGGATCATGTCGGATGCACAGAACAGGCGCCAGCGCGGCGGCTCTAGAAACAAGCGGAGCAGCCTGAATGTCCACCCGCATATCCGCCATGCAGCTGCAGGACAGTGTCCACAGCCATACGTCGGCCCGAGAGGTACTTCTGAACGGACGAACTTAGCCTGCGGATGTAACAACGATCGCAGCACAAATGATCGCACGCGTTCACGCATTACCACAAAGCGCGCCGAATGGGTCCTGTGGAGGAAGTCCGCCGCAGGCCGGCTGGCGCCGGAACAGCCAGCGCAACGCGCCGCTGCAGGGTACGGCTCGCGACAAAGAGCCCCGACCTCATAATTTGTTAACAATGTCGGGTCCTCAGAAGTCTGGACCTATGCCCAGAGACCGGCTCTTCATCCTGAGTAGCTTGTCAACGGCCCCAGGGTCCAGCGAGGGACCCCCAAGTCCCGAAACAGTCGAAAACCGTGCGTCGTGATGTTTCACGACTCGAGGGGGTCTGGGGATGCGCCCAGCCGAGCCCCCGATGCAGAGCTCGAAGGGACCCACGACAAGCAACGGGCATGAAGTGGCATCGGGTTCGCACTCGACTTGCACGGCAACACAGTGTCTCATACATGGTGTGTCTCAGTCGCGGGGGCCCCGACTGACAGACGAACAGCACACATCCATACTCATAGAGGGGACGGAGGGGGCTACGGGTGCGTGTTGTCTGATGGGGGTGCCCGCTCGTACGGGAGCCTCTGGGACCGACAACTCGCACCCATACCCATATCGGGAGCGGCCAAGAGGGGGGCGTCCAAGAGGGGGGGGGGGGGCACAAACCATGGTGGCCGGCAGCATGTGCGTGGCTCAGCAGGGAACGAGGGACGTCTTGAAATAACCAGAGGCGCCATGAAGTTTGGGAGGTATCACGGCCCCGCCATGCTTTCCACAACCACGCTGGTCATCTCCCCCCTTCTTGGCCGTCCCCGACCATAGCCAACTCATCCTCCTTCCGACCCCCCTGATGGGTATGTGTTTGTGTGTGTTCGTTCGTCGCCGACGACGGTTCCAGCGGGTACCAACTCGCCAGGGGCCCAGAGCGGGGCCTCGCCGCGGTCTCCGCCCGCCGCGCGGCGCGGCGCGGGCGCCGAACTCGCGGCGGGCTGGGCTGCTCGTCTCGGCCGCTGCCGGGCTGCTCGGCCGCCGTCAGGCGCCCCTGCGAGCGGGGCTGCGCCGCAGCTCTGGCCCTACTGGGCGGCGAACCTCCAGTTGGAGCAGCCTCGGCAAACTGTGCACATAGCCCGTAGAAGGGGAACTGGATCGAAAATCCAGGGATCTGTGGCCGAAGGTTTGTGAAGCAAGGCCGAGAGGTGAGTTCGTGGCCGCCATGTGTAATTCATTCATGGTCGGTTAGGAAGAGTAAGAAGGAGGGGAGGAGGAAGACAGCAACGACGACAATGAGGAGATGGAGGGGGGGGAAGTGGACGAAGAGCCAGGGGAAGGGAGTGGAGTTAAATGCGAGGAGACAAGGGGAGATGAGATGGCATGAACGGGACGAAGCATGAGAGAATATGAAAAGATGGAGAACGAAGGACTCCGATGAGGATGGGGAGTGAAGAGTGGGAGCGCGGGAAGGGCCAAGAGTCTTCCGGCATATGCGGCCCATGGCCCCGATGCGGGCTCCCGCCGCGGATGACGGCATGAAGCGGGCGGGGCGGCGGCGCGACGCACGCCGCGGCTGGGAAAACTGTGTCGTGCAGGATGATGCGCGTGAGAAATATAGCTCGCATCGCGGCTCTTGCAGATGGTCCACTCTCGGCGCCAGCTGGCCCGCGCCGCCAACACCCGAGGGATGGCAGTCGAAACCTCTG